CACTACTCTTTTCATAGCTGATCAAATTATTACTGTTAAAGGAAAATTTCTTGGAAATTCGTTTGTTATTTCTGCAGTTTATGGAAATAATGAAGGCATCAATAGAAGACATCTTTGGCACCAAATGAAAGACTTGGACAGTAAGATAGGCAATCTTCCCTGGATCCTCGGTGGAGATTTTAATATTACCCTGCGTCCGAATGAAAGCTCTAATTATGAGCTCCTTTGCCCTGCATCGACTTCTGATATGAAAGAATTTCAAGACATAACCCAAGATCTTGATCTCCATGACCATCATTTTATTAGCCCTCTTTTTACATGGAGCAACAAACAATCAGGATCTTACCTTGCAGGAAACTTGACAGGGTTCTTATTAATCCTATTTGGGCTCTCACATTCCACAACTCTTATGTTGAATTCCTTGCCCCTGGAGTTTCAGATCACTGTATGGCTTTAACTTGGCTTTCAAAAGAAGCCCAAACTAATCGTCCAAAACCCTTTAAATTCTTTAATTTTTGGACGCGACATCCCAGCTTTTTAGAAATAGTTGAGCAGTATTGGCAAACTCCTTTCCATGGGAACCCCATGATGATTCTGTTTCTTAAACTTAAGCATGTCAAGTCAAGCCTCAAGAATCTTAACAAGTCTGGCTATAATGACATCTCTTCTCGAGTTATCCAAAAGAGGCTCGAACTTGAACATCAACAAATACTCTCTTTAAAAGGAGATGACTCTTTTGGAAAAGAGCAGCAAATTCAAAACGAATTATTTACTCTCGAAGAAGCTGAATTATTATTTCTGAAGCAAAAAGCCAAACATCAATGGATCAAGAATGGAGACAAATGCACAAAAATTTTTCATTCTGCCGTAGCAGTCAAGAACAAAAAGGAGACTATCTGATTGCTTGTTGATGACCACGGGAATAGGCTTGATTACTTCGATACAATGGCTACTGAAGTGATTCAATTCTTCACCAATCTTATTGGGACGACCGAACCCAGGGTCAAAGACATTGACTATAACCTCTTGAAAGAAATCCTTAATTATTCCCTGCCACAAGAATCTGTCTCAATGCTTGTTAAAGATGTCACTACCAAATAGATCAAGGAAGCTATCTTTGCTCAAGGCAATGACAAAGCGCCTGGACCAGATGGATACACTCCACTTTTCTTCAAACATTCCTAGCCCATTGTTGGAAATGAAGTTGTTGCTGCTATTCACTTCTTTTTCCAGCATTCTAATCTTCTTCCAACTTTTAATGCAACCACAATTGCTTTGATTCCCAAAATTCTCAATCCTTGCAAAGTCAAAGACTTCAGACAAATTTCATGTTGTTCATTCATCTACAAGGCGATTACAAAGATTTTAATTAAGAGAATGACAAGTCCCATGCCAGGAATGGTCTCTTTCAATCAATCGACTTTTATTAAGGGCAAGAGCATCGTAGACAACACACTCCTTGCTCAATAAATGGTTAAGGGGTATGGAAGGAAACACATATCTCCAAGATGTACAATGAAAATGACCTTCAAAAAACATTTGACACCCTTCATTGGAACTTCATTATTTATGTATTGAAAGCACTTGACTTTCCCCAAAGATTCATTGGCTGGATTCAAGCATGCTTCACTGAAGCTCGATTCTCAATTTCTTTTAATGGGAGCTTAATAGGGTTCTTTAAGTGAGATAGGGGTATAAGGCAAGGTGACCCTCTTTCACATTTCCTCTTCGTTTTATCTTTGAATGTGCTATCCGGATTTCTTAATTTAGCAGTTGCTCGAGGACTTTATAATTATCATCCTAAATGCAAGCAACTTGGTCTCACTCATTTATCCTTTGCCGACGATTTACTAATCTTTTGTAAAGGAAATGTTGAGTCTGTTGCAGGTGTTGTCTCGGTGCATGACAAATTCTATGAAATTTCATGACTGAATTTGAACGCTGCAAAATGTGTTTTCTTTACTGCTGGTACTGATAACAGAACTGTTGAGAAGATTAAGCAGTTTACTGGCTTCAGTATTGGTTGCTTTCCAGTTCGCTACCTTGGTATTCCTCTAATTACTAGAAAGCTTTCCATTAAAGATTGTGATCAGCTGATCGATACTATTAAATCCAAACTTAATTTGTGGTCTGGAAAAATATTGAGCTTTACTGGTCGTCTGGAGCTAATTCGAGCAGTCCTATTTAGCGTTTCCAATTATTGGTGTAGGCAGCTCTTGCTCCCTCAAGCTGTTATCAATAAAATCGACCAACTATGCTCCTGATTCTTCTGGAAAGGAAGTGACAAGGCTGCTACATGTGTGCGAGTTAGTTGGGATAAGATTTGTCAACTTAAATCCGAGGGTGGTCTAGGATTGAAAAACTTGAAACTTTGGAACAAAACTTGCATAATCAAACTTATCAAGAACATCCTAGCAGGTGGGGGATCGTTATGGGTTGCTGGATCAAAAAGAACGTAATAAAGGAGAAAGATTTTTGGCACATCGAAGGAAGTCCCAATTTCTACTGGAGCTTCAATGGGATTCTAAAGCTTCGGCCTAAAGCTTACCCTGCTATCACGAATCATACTATCACCATCAAACATATTTGGCTGGAAATTAGATTGAATAGAGACAAAGTAAAATGGCATCCTTTGATTTGGTACCCTTATCATATTCTGAAACATAGTATTATAGCATTGATGGCTATTCTTGATCGACTCCTGACCCGGGATCGACTTTTGCGGATGGGGATTACCACTTTGGGGAATTGTGTGCTTTGCAACGGAATGATGGAAACTCGGTCTCACCTATTCTTTGATTGTCCACTGGCTGCTAATTTATGGGACTCAATATTGCTTTATAATGGGTTAAAGAAACCACTTTCAACCTGGGAAGACATGATCACATGGGCAAGCAATAACTGAAAAGGCAAATATCTTCTCTCAACCATTTTAAAGATTGCTTGGTGTGCCAAAATCTATGTACGATGGGAGGAACGCAATAGACAATTTTTCCGAGGACGTACAAGGACTGCTGACGACCTTTTTGCTTGTATCAAAGATTATGTTTCTACCAAACTGAGGGGGGTTAATATTAATATGTCTGATAGTATCAATATTTCTCTATGTAATTCTTGGGGTATTGATTAACCGATCTTTTGTCTTGTAAGTATGGTGTACATATGATTTTTGTGATCGGTTATTTTTGTAACAGTTATTGATTCGTTGGGTAATAAAATTGAATTATCTAAAAAAAACACTATCTTCTCTATATTATTTTTTAATTATATTCTTATTTTACCTAATAAAAACGAAGATTTATACATATATATTTAAATTAGGTCAGACTGAATTAGAGCAAATTTTTATCTAAAAAATCTAATCAAATTTCGATTTGAGTAATTTTTTTTAAATTCCGAACCTGGTCAACTGCAAATGGAAATTTTAATTTTCAATTAATATTTAGATAAACCAAAATCCGACTAAGACCATAACCATCCCATAGGAGATTAAAAAAGGTACATATATATATTCCCTAAGACGATTCTTAGGGTGTGTTTGGTTGGGGGAATATGAGATTCCCATGGGAATGAAATTCACATTCTCCCGTTTGGTTGGCCGGGAATGTCATTCCCGGTAATCTTACATTACCAATAGTGGATTTTTTGGGTATATTAACAGGAATGTCATTACCTTCATTTCCTTAGGTATTGTTGTATTACCAGTGTTTTGGACTAAAATGCCCTTAAAAAATTTTCTTTCAAAAATATCCTTATTCTGTCATTGAATAATAAAAATTCTACGAAGATTAAATTACAAATTTATCCTTAAACTATTTTAGATTTACAAAAAAAATATATAATTAAAATTTTATATGAAGTTCAGGGGTTAAAATAAAATTTTACTCTTTCATTAAACCTTTTTATATTTTTAATTTTGTAAAAAAAATTATAGAAATTTTAAGAATTTAAATATTTTAAAGAAAATTTATAAATATTTTACAACTTGTTAAAAAAACAAATATATAATAAGGAAAATTTGGTCAAATATAGATTACAATAATTTTTTATTCTTTTAACCAAACACGGTAATCTTACATTCCTGTTAAACTAACCAAACACAAAATACAACATTCCCAATAATATTATTCACTGGTAATCTTTTATTCTCACTTATAATTTTACATTCCGTGAACCAAACGTACCTTAAGGGCTTGAGCATATTCACTTTCTTCATATTTACTTCAGATTCATTATACGAAGCAGGTGAAGAAGAAATAGTCGTGGCCTGACCACTCCTCCTATTGTTGCCGCCACGATCCAGGCTTTCCTTGCTGCTCATTGTTGAATTTTGCTCTTCTTTGAGAATTTTCTTGGAAATTTCTTCTTTCCTTTTTTTTTTTTTTTTGGTGTCGGATACCTGATTTTGAGTTTGAGAAGGGAAAAGGGTTGGGATATGGGAAAAGAGTGGAATTTTTTTGGCTAAAGTACACAGATAATACTCTGATTATAAGATATTATTATGTTGAGTCACTTTTTAACTATAAGAAGTTATTTTATTAAATTATTTAATTATTCAATAAGTTTCAAACTTATCCTTTTATTAAAAAATTAATAATAGTTTGATTTAGACTTTAATATTTAATTTAGAAGTCCATTAATTTTTTAATGAAAAAAGTTAAGTTTATAACATAACAAATAGTCGAATAATTATTTTATAACTTTTAATAATCGAGTAACTTAACAAAATAATTATATATAATTAAGGATCATTTTATAATATTTAATAAGTAAAGAACTTAATAAATTAATATACTGTAGTGGAAAGACTGTTTAGATACTTTACTCAATTTTTTAACAGTTTCTGGTTTTTGGCGACGGAAACAATAAATTCGATGGCTTCCCTTTCCCTCAAATATAATAGATTGGAAATTGAAACAGAAGAATGTTTTAACAAATTACAATCCAAATTTAGATTGATTTTTTCATATTTCATCATTTGATACATAACAGGCAAATAGAAAATTATAATAATCCTAAAACCTAACAGTGGTAGGACCCCAAGAGTTCATTTCCAAGACTTTCTTCATATTTCTCTCGGCCTTCCTCATCCTTTCCTCTCTCAGCTTATTCGAAACAGCACCAGCAACAGCTGAAGAAGAAGAAGAAGAAGAAGAAGAAGAAAAGAAAGAAGATCTGAGATTGTTCTTGGCATGTTGATGAAGAGACCTGATAGTGTAATTCCACCTGCAAATCCCTTGGTCTTTCAATGCCTCCACTGCTCCTATTGTCGCCGCCACCACCCAGGCTTTGCTTGCTGCAACTGCTCCACTACTCATTGCTTCAAGATTGGGTTTTTGGTGATGAAATCGAAGACTGAGATTTTGGGTTGATTTGGTTGGTGAATTTGAAGGGTGGGTTCCTTTTAAAGTGATGTACCCATGGTTTTTGGGCACAAAACCAAGGGGCTAAGTTCCACGTTTCTGGAGATTCTCGGGGTTTACGCGTTGGAAACTATAAAACCACCAGCTTGAGCATGTGACCGAGACGGAATCCCCAACTCTACTGCTTCTCCAACTTGGCAACTAATTCGCTTTAACATCAATTGAAGAAAAATGGAGATTATTATTATTATTTAATTAAGAGAAATAATATGAACATAATATAAATAAATAAATTATTTAATTAAGAAATCATTTATATTTAATGTTCAAAAAAGAAATATTTTTTGTTTTTTCTTATTAAGGAATAGAAAGAAATGGAAAGTAGTTCTCAATTTCAAAAGGAATGGATTTGTATATGATTTAAATATTTTCTTTTGTTTAGCTACATTTAAAATTTTAAATATTTCATCGAGCAGATCTTAATTGATTGAAAAACACACAAAAATACTTATTTTCAATTGGATTTTGTATTCAAATTTGAATCAATTTAAAAAAAATTAATAATGGCAAGATTGAATCAATTAATTAGTAGTATACTTTTGACTCAATCTAACTGAAATTTTTATTAGATTATGTAGTCAATAGCTAGAGGTAAAGTGAAGAATTTGTTTTTATTAAAAGATTAAGAGGGTACTAACAATTGATTGCTATAATGGGATGAATCACCAGATTTTTTAAAAAATATTAGAGGTTCGAATCTTGATGTTGTAAATGGAGAAAATTGAGTTGGGATGATCAACCCTATAATGAATCTCTATAATACCTGATATGAATTAGTTAATTAATAGATTGAAACCCAATAGTTATACAAAACAAAAAGAAAAGGAGAGGGGGCAAAGGGCAAAATTTGAAATTATAAATTTCTCAGAAGGGCCAAAAGTGAATTTCACCGTTTTAGCCAAAGGGCTGAAGCTCTAGAATAGCCTTGCTGTCGTGAATTACCTTGGAAGGGGTTTCACATAACAATCAAGGGATCGGATCCTCAATGGAAATAAAAGCTTAAAAGCATGGAGAAACGCAGGTTTTTAGCTCATAGGGAACGAGTTATATATATATTTTTAATAATTTGTATGATTATAAAGTGGTATATGTTCATATTTTTTCTTAATCATTGACAATATTCACACTCGACATATACAATTACTTGAACTCAAAACTTTAAGACATAATTATACACACTCTAACCACTAAGGTCACTCAATAAGTTCACGAATTATAAAATTTTTGAAATAGTAAAGTTAAATCATTAATATAAAATATGAAAAAGACATATGTCCGATAGTTCAACCATGCATACTAATAATGAGTACTAAAACGCATAGCAACTACTTATTATCATCACTCTTTTAAGGGGATTGAAAGACAGCTTCATCACTGACAAAATTAGTAGCATAAGTTTATAATTTTCATCTTGAAAGGATTACGTACGCATTGTAAACTTTGTTGGTTTTTATGCCAATATGGCAACACCGATTGACGAGAGATTGTCAACAACACAGTGGCAAAAGCACAAATGAAAACCATCATTTTTGTCCATAGAAAATAGATTTTCCAACGACTAGAAACAGTTCGGGATTTACATGTCAGATGACATGGTTAGAATGAAAGGCAACAAAGATATAAGAAAAAAACACTGCAAGACCTGTCAGCCCAGATTTTGTCCGGGCCAAAAGCCCAAATATGGGCTGGAATCAAATCCAAGCCTGCCCAAATTCAAATCCAACTAACACTAATAAAAAATGCATTGGGTAAAATAGTCACTTGAACCTCTATTCTTTTTTAGGATTTCGACTTTCAACATTTTATTTTAGGGTAAAAAATTCATTAGTGGACGAAAATCGTTATTCAACAAACAATCTAAAATAGAGATATTTCCCCCCTAAAATGAAACGTTAGATCTAAAATGCTCCAAAAACGATAATTGTTAAAGTAACTATTTAGTTAAACATTACGTGTGGTATTGAGAGTCAATATAATAAAAACAAATATTTAGACAAATTTAGGCTAAAAATTATTAGTATGTCAAAAAAGTAAAAAAATCAAATTAAGAAAAAAAATCAGTGTGTGCAATTGCTTTTGCTTGCTGGTTGTTTTTTCTGGAGCTGTTTGGATTTGCTGATTAGAGCCTGGGTCGTCTTCTTTGTGATCAGTGTAGCTCTCTTGATGTCCAGGTTTTAGTTTCAAGTTTGAGGTCTTTCTTTTATTATGTTGGTTGTGTTGAGTTCTTCTGTGGTGTTTTCTCGTAAGAGGTATTGTGGGTAGCTATTTTGATATTTTCTTTATGTGTTCTTCTAGGCTGGTTTTTGCAGTCGTTTGTAGCTGTTTTCATAACAGCAGGTTAAATGTGTCTTTGAGGTCTCCTGGTTTCTCCGGCAGTGTTTGCTTCTGAGGAGCTAGGTCTTGGCTTCATGTTCTCTCCACCTCATGGTTCACTCTTTTTCCTCCAATAAGTTTGGGGAGGTTTTTTAATGAGGTCCATGTGGTGATATACCTTGTATCATATTCAATACAAAGTACCCCTCTTTCAAAAAAAAAAAACAAATTCAGGACTACATATTGCTTTAACCTTTTTAATATATATTCTTAATATTTAATACTTTCTTGATGACCAATTGAGTTCTCATTCCTTTTATCCAAATTCCGTACGTTTAGTAAATTTTAAAATCACAGTCGAATTATTATAATAGTATTAAATCCCCCAGCAACCCAATTTGAATATGCATTTCGAAGACTTACAGAGAGGAAAATAAATAATTTTTTTTTCTTTTTGAATAATTTAGCCAATTTGCATCAGCAAGTCTTTGTTTACAAATGGAATGATAAGAAGCAAGTTTCATGCATTGGACAAATCTTCACCTAATGAATTTAATAATACAAATAATTAATAGGAATAAATTCTTTTTTTCTAACCAATAATTAATGTTTATGTGCCAAAAATAGAGACATAAAGCTAAGATTTTCACTTAAAAATGAGTAAATTGTGTAGATAATGCCATGCAGTAAGGTAGATTTGGTGAATTATAATTATCCTAAAGTCTCAGTTAACAATCCTAGTAAGCTTGCTTAGTCTTAACAGTTGGTTATTGACATTGTTTTTGCATATTATATAAATATTTATCTATGATAAAATTAATAATTAAATGCGAAGCTTTATATATAAACTAATCCAAATTTTAATTATTATTTTTATATTCAAATACAAACTATATTTCTTATTGTTGTCGCGTGCAGAGATAAAATGTTAATTGTAAAAGTAATAACAAAAGAACCTAGTTTTAATTTTATATATATATATATTAAATAATGAGTTTCTTAATACGTTTTGATAAATAATTTTTAAAAAGTAATGGATAATATTAATAAACGATAAAGGGTGGTTGATGAATAAAATTGCAAGGCAAGTGGTGGGTTTTTCGACCTAGTGAATTTATTAAAATAATTGATGTTATAATTATTTCTATATTTAATTTAAGTAATTTAATATTTATCTAATTGATTTTATATTCGGTTAACTCGTAATATTAAATTTATTTAAAAAATTTATATTTTTATAATTTGAAAATTTCAATAATTTTTTTATTTTACTATGATGAACTCTATGTATTCTTATATACGCAGAGTACATCGATTGTACAAGATTTTTGTAACAAAGTTTCTATTGTTCATATTAACAATGGTTTTAAGAGGGATGTTTTTATGCACAAATAACGATTTAATGACAGAATATTTCATTTTACGCTGTTAAATATAATTTGGATATATAAAGAAAGATGTAGGGTTTAATCAAACTGCTACTAAATATTTAATCATCGACGGGTAAGTCTTATTATAATTCATGTTTTCTCTTAATAATATGATTTAATTAAAAAAAGAGAGTAAACTTCAAAAATTAATGAGTGAACTATCAATACATAAAATATAACTCTCTAAAAATTTCGATTGCACTTATATTCATCTAAGATGGAATTGATATATAATTATTAGCTCAGTAGTTATACCATTTGTCGTAACCGTTTTCCGGGAGGAACAATCGTTTAATTGTTTTAAAAATAGTTACGACTTTTAATTTTGGAAAATGGGTGATTTTGGAGTAATTTGAAATAAATTAAAAAGAATTAGAAAGAATCGCCATCAACCTTTGGGTTAGGTAGGTCGAATACCTAAAAACGTCTTTTAAAAACAATTTTAAGAAAAATCATTTTTTTAAGACAAAAGCTGGCCTGCGTTTACCAAGATTCGTTTAAAACGAGTTCGGGAGTCGGTTACGCGTGGGGAAGGATTAGCACCCCCACAGCGCCCAAAATTGGTACTGTTTCGCTTACACGTTGTCGTAAATGGTGAAAATCATGAATTAAATATAAAATTAAATTATGATCCATTTATTGAATATTAATTAATTTGCTTTAAATTAATAACTTAAAGAAAAAAAATAAAATAAGTAGTTAAACTTATAAGAACTAAAATGCAACAAATCAAAAACTTGAAGTCTAAATTGCAATTAAACGAAATTAAAACAATGACTAAAACATGTAATAATGTCGAGTTATGCACATAAAGATATCATACAAAAATTAATTAAATAAAACAAATGATTATTTAACTCATGAAAATTACCATGACATTCTAAAAATTATATACATTTATTTAGATATAAACTATATCTTATATATGATTACTATAAATAAGTTTTAAACGTTTGAACCATAACTAATACTCAATATTAAAATATAAAGATTTAATTCGATGTAGAATACACAAGTATATGTAAGTTACTATATAAATTTATATTAACTATCTTACAAATATGTACGCATATTATGAATAAGTAATGGAACATTATACTTATTAAATAAATGATAACTATACTTATTAAATAAATGATATAAAGAATATAAAAGTAAATACAAGTATACATCTATAAAAATATATTAAAATTGATCATGCATGG